TGTTTCTGTAGAAACTCCGAACGAGTTTGGTGCGGCGGCACTTGTTAAAATGCAGTATATCCAAGACACAAATACCTTTGGAACACAAAATAACTTCAACATTTTTTATGGAAATTTAAAATATTTTGCTAATTTAGTAAAGTTATACAAAATACTAAAGGGTCAAGTATAATCTATCTATCTATATATACCTAATATATAGTATGATCTCGTGCAGCAACCAAAAAAATCAAATTTATGTTGATTTATATATCAGATATATGAAAAAACATCTAATCAAAGAATTATAATTCTCAAGCAAATCAAACGCTCGAAGCTAAGCAAGAAAGAAAAATCATGAAGCAGTCAAGCGTCCACTGTCCAGCCGACCATCGGGCCATAGAGTCGCGTCCAAACCTCGTGCCACCGCACACAGCCCCATACACCGTATACAAGATGCGCCCCCTTTGTCGAATGTGAGGAAAAAAAGAGTTTGAAATCTCCTACAACTAAAAAGAACAAAGTGCGGATATTTTTTGGTGTGATATTTGTTTTGGTTCGTCCGTTTGCCTACGTCTACGATCCCACGACATCTCCCGCATGCTGCGTCCTTTGGTGCGATTCTCCTTGATTGAATATTGCCTGTCATGTGATAGAAGAATCACGATAAAATAGGAAGTAGAAAATTATTGTGCTATCCATATATACATTGCATGTTTGCATGCACCAGTATACATGGCAACGAGCAAAAGGAAAGAGAATTAACACAAAAGGAATATCTTTGCATTTCTGAGAACTTTGCCAAATCGGCCTATATTTAATTACTTCCCCTCTTTGTATTTGTAAAAGGGACAACTTTTTCCTTCTTTCATTTGGTTTCACGTTCACGTGTTCTATCGCCCTCGCTTACTGTTTTTTGCTGAAATTGCTCTTTGGTCTGTTCATTTTGAATCATTTCCCCATATTCTAATTAAACTATAAAATTTTGAATTAGGATACGAGGTAAGATATGCAAACAGATATTTCAAAACTACTTGTAGAGTCCAAAGAATTTAATAAATAAATCCTTCCGGAGGCAATGCAAATTCTCTCTAATCTTTCATTTGGTGTAGTTAGTGTTATCATAGTACCCGCATGTATTCATGAAAAATAAATCGTGAACAAAACGTGGACACTTTTTGGTACAACATTTTAACATGGGTCCATCGTCCTGCCAATATCCTTGAGGCAGATCACATAAAGGATGGGAGTCACTCTATGAGATTGCTCACAAGAGACTCAAACTTATATCTGATCATGGTAATGTTGAATTGCTTTGCATCAAAAACATCGGCAATGATAAATGGGGACATAGGTTTTAGTATGCATAGTGGAGGAAAACTCAACCTTGGCCTTCTCAGCAGCTTTTCTGAGCCTTTGCAGTGCTAACTTGTTCTTACTCAGATAGTCAAGAGGTGCACCACTAAGAAAAGTGTCACAATTGGTTGGCTTGACCTGAAAAATGTGTCGAAATTAAAAATTACAACACCTAATTCAACATCTTGGAACAGACACTCAAGTGGATACCTTATTCTACCATATATGTCTGTATGGAATAGTCCTAAAGCCACACATATTTATACGGTGAGTATAACATACTTTGTTTTAAAATTTTATGAGAGATTTTTTAAGACACGCAGTATTATCCATGTGACAGGCACTAATATTTACATATATACTCGAACCTGTATGTACAGGATTATATGGAGATGCAAATGAACTTATTCGAACTATTATCTTAGCCATATCACGAAAAAGTCTATACAAGAGAATTTGTGAGCCTATGTTAATTTCACGAGGATTATATGGAGATGCAATGTGGAACTTATTCATGGATTTATTGGCGCATGAAAAAGAAATAGATATCGAGAGAATTCTTTTGGATCTGCGATATAAAATATTATCTTAGCCATATCACGAAAAAGTCTATATAGTAGAATTTGTGAGCAGCACTTTGAGATTTTCTATGATTCCTTCCTCCTCAATCTCCCCTTCTTTAATGGTGAGAACTCCGCCATGCTAATCTAATGTCTAAATCTCTCCCCTTGGCTGTGGTACTATGTTAATTTCACGAACTTTGTTTTTTGAATTAAATGTCACTTTAACATAGGTATTTAATTTAACAGTATTGTTATCTAATCATGTGATCCGTGTGTTTTTAGTACAAAAGATTTAGTTATCCTATAGTAATGCACAAGCACGCTACCTAGTCAAGCAAAGAAAAAAGAGAAGAGAGGAAAACAAATCAAAACGCATGAGAGAGAGACCGGAGGCTCTAATAACACTTGGATCAAGAGACAACTGAACATCAGGTTCCCTCAAGAGATCAAATCCATCCACCATGGACGAGAAACCTCCTCCATCACATCTTCTCGTCTAGCCAGAGTTCCTCTACCGGCGTGGCGCATCTCATCCACCGCCGCCTCTCGGCGGCACCGTCAATCTCCCTCTCTGCTTTCCTCAGTTGCCAATTCTTCTGCTTTCGTATGGGGGTGGAAATATGATGATGTAACTATATTCTTCTGCTTTCCTCAGTTGCCAATTCCACTCTGTCAATTAGCACTTTGAGATTTTCTATGATTCCTTCCTCCTCAATCTCCCCTTCTTTAATGGTGAGAACTCCAAAATTATCCATGCTAATCTAATGTCTAAATCTTTCTCCCCTTGGCTCAAAATCAATGTGGTAAAAGCCAAGACCTCGATTAGCACTACCAAAATACCGACCAACCTTCCAACAACTCGAATCTCAAAAGATTGTCTCCAACAACCTATTCATAGAGGTTTTAATTTTGACCTCTTTGCCATTCATGGCACTTGTCCACCACATGATTCTCAGGATAACACTGGTGAATTTTGACACACTATGGCATCACATGCTAATGAAGAATTGGCACTCTGCAGACTTTTGGTGGTGGCTACCTATTTCTCTATGGCGGCTACTACCGAACTACAATGACCTAGCTCTCCACATTTATAGCGAATTACATTCACTCCCTTCTCATTGATATCAAGAACTATCTCCTCCTTTGTCTCCTCTACTCTCTCTCTCACCTCTCTAGTCTTCTGTTTCCTCAAGCCCTTTGGGGCTTTCTCCTTGATTTTTGATTTGCCTTTTCACTTCTGCATCATCATGTTGAGGTCTCCTTGATGATCTGCCCCGGGATTCTCCCCTTGTGATGACTCTTCCTTCCCCATGGAATCCCCCTCTAGGTCTCCGACCATTGAATCGGTTGAATGGTCCATACTATTGAGTTGGAGGGTTGGGGAAGAAGCCATCTTGAAAGGCGTGGAGGTGGCGGAAGGCAGGTTGATGGTAGAACTTACACTTTGCATGTATAACTGACTGGGTGTGGCGTGAATGTATATATATATGCGGAGGCTGGTTCCAATTTGAATTTGAATTTGAATCCCTCCACTCCTCTTCCGGGCGACTAGGCACATCCCTCTCCCACGCGGGCGGTTGGCCATGGATTCCTTAATGATTCTCACGAAGCTCCTCCTTACTTTCTTCCCCTACATGTCTTTTGTGAAATCTAGCTTGTGAGTCTTACCTTCCTAGATGTCACCTCACCAACGGGGAAACAATCCTCCACAGTGAAGGGCTTGGATTCCCAGGGACTCTTCTGGATCCACACCAGAGCTCGGCCCTCAGATGCCCTAACCCTAGCTACACGGCAGCGGTGTTGCAAGCCTGGGAAGAACCACAATTGGCCCTAGAACTGTGGAACCTCGTCATCCATCTCACGAGGTTTTGGATTTAAGCTCTTCCTCCAACTCGATTCGCCATCCATGGGTGAGTGGGTGCCACTTGGCTTCCCAAGTGCCTACCTCGACTCCAAGCCTTCCTCCCCGAGGTGGAGAAGGAGACCTAAACGGCGGTGAGACGTGCGGGGGAGTCCTCGCTATTGGCCTAGGTGGAGGCGTCCTCATCGTCTCCCCGGGAGGAACTCCTCTCTCCAAACAACACTCATCCTCCGTATTCTAACACTACTAATATCTAATGATACTAATTATGCACTATAAAAACTAATATTCTCTTATATATTTAGTCAAAGTTGTAAATATTTGACTTCTCGGTAAGAGAAAATGACACTCTTTATGTGATGAAGTATATAGTCGTCTACCTTATATAATAATGAGAATTCATTAAGATGTACTCCCTCTGTTCCAAATTATAAGACGCTTTGACTTTTCTAGATACGTTGCATTTGCTATACACATAAATATACACTATGTCTAGATACATAATAAAAGCAATGTATCTAGAAAAGCCAAAACGTCTTATAATTTGAAATGGATTTAGTAACATATATAACGAGACAACGATCCTAAATTTACATTACTCCATTTGTCTTATAATATAGTGTATTCTAGAAATTTTAATGTAAATTAAGAGAGAACATAAAAGACGCATGTACTCTTATTTTATTTTCAAATCAAACGCTATCAACGTGATTAGTGGTGATTGGTTGACAAATGAAAAATATTTAGTTTTTGTCCTTAGAATATTAATGCATTATATTTGAGGACAAATTTTGAACGCCAGAATGCTATGTATTGCAGTTTGACGACAGAGGGAGTACATCTGATACTTTGAGGTAGAACGTAACGTGCTAGTTACTAGAACAAACGAGCTGGAAAAAGCTAAACAATATTTTGAAAGGGAACTAGCAGAATGCAAACGTGATTCCGGGGAAGCAATGGAAGAATTCCAAAAATGGGAAAACGAGAACGAAGGACCCGGCGAGAAAAGAGAGTCTGCCTGTCTCTCAAAACCATCGACCACGACAGCCCCAATTTCCTCCATCTCTCTCCTCCGATCCTCTCTTGCCCTAGGGAGAGGGAGAGGGAGAGGAAGAGAGAGATCGATCGACATCCGCCGCGCCATCCGTCCGTCCAGGGAGAGAAGCAAATAAAGGTCGGCAACCACTGAACCGCGCTACGCGTGGTCGTCGTCCGGAGCCACGCGTGGCGCCGCGGCGATGGGCAACTGCTGCGTGGCCCGGCCGTCGTCAGGCAAGCGGCGGGGCGGGAACCGTGGCGGTGGTGGCGCTGGCGGGAACCGTGGCGGGCGCCTGGGCGGCGCCAACGTGCGGTCCTGCTCCACGCTGTCCTCCATCTCCAACGCCGCGCGCGCCACGGCGACGCAGGCGTGGACGCCGCTGACCGTGCTGGGGAAGGGCCTGGCCGCGGAGGCCAGCGTGGAGGAGCTGCTCCGGCGGTACGAGCTCGGCGAGGAGCTGGGACGCGGCGAGTTCGGCGTGACGCGGCGGTGCACGGACACGTCCACGGGCGAGGTGCTCGCGTGCAAGTCCATCAGCAAGCGCATGCTGCGCAGCAGCGTCGACATCGAGGACGTCCGGCGGGAGGTGGCCATCATGCGGTCGCTGCCCGAGCACCCCAACGTCGTGCGCCTGCGAGAGGCATTCGAGGACGGCGACACCGTGCACCTCGTCATGGAGGTCTGCGAGGGCGGCGAGCTCTTTGACCGCATCGTCTCGCGCGGGCACTACACCGAGCGCGCGGCCGCCGGCGTCATGCGCACCATCATGGAAGTCGTCCTGGTACGTGCCTAGTACTGCCTTCCATGTTTGCATGCATGCCACATGTCAGCATGTGCGCGCATTTCCATCAACAGTTCTGATATGAATTTAAAATGCGCGTAAATAACCGGTTAGCTGAAATCATAGGTGTGCAAGACAAAAGCAGTGCAATTTTATAAAATGCCATCCGTGCATTCATCAGGATTTTACTACATTTTAAAAAAACCCTATTGCATTGCATGCTTGTTTCCATCTTTCCAACTAAAATCGGTAAAGCATCTCCAATAGTTCAAAAAAAAAACATTTGGTAATCAGTAAGTTTTTCAGGTAGCTAAAAGAGTTACGAGCATATTTATTGAAAAAAAATCTAGCTCGATAAAATATAGAAGATAATTTTGCATCACCAATGCTAAACTACTTCTAAATCACCGTAACAACTTTTATACTTTCTTTCTCTCTTTGTATTGGGAACCCTGCCCTACTCGTTATTATTCCCCGCATCCTTTCACCTGTAAATTGATCTGCTTAATTAGATCGATTTTCCTAAGTGCAGAAAGATTGGGAGTTGGGAGTTTTTTTGAAGAGCACTTTTTTCAATCTTGCCAAAAAAAAAATCAAGATTAGGAGTGGTTTTTGTAAACTCTTGGACATGTTCTTACGTTAGACAATTGTGTCATGTCGTGCAAAAACAAATTCCTGCAAACTAAAAGCAAATTTCCAATAACAAATTAAACCTTTTGACATGCAGCATTGCCACCAGCATGGCGTCATGCACCGGGACCTCAAGCCTGAGAACTTTCTGTATGCCAACACATCTGAGAACTCGGCTCTCAAGGTCATCGACTTTGGTCTCTCTGTGTGCTTCAAACCAGGTTGGAGCTTGGTCCATGGCAAAACCACAAAGCGTCCACCAATTAGTTTTACATACAAAAAACTAAAACTTCTCAAAATAATCTTCACAAAGTGTGTGCATTTCTTCCTTCTGAGTCAGGTGACAGGTTCAGTGAGATCGTTGGATCCCCCTACTACATGGCTCCTGAAGTCCTGAAGAGGAACTATGGGCAAGAAGTAGATATATGGAGTGCAGGAGTCATCCTCTACATCTTGCTATGTGGCGTCCCACCATTCTGGGCAGGTAAGTTCGATTCATATATATACCTCTGAATCAATCAATCAATGTAAAAAAAAAACCCCATCAAATTTCGTTCTGATGCATGGGTCATCTACTCGATGTGTTTTTTTTTTGTACGCTGATCCTTTAATCTGCAGAGACTGATGAGGGCATAGCACAGGCTATCATCCGGTCCAACCTCGACTTCCAGAGAGAGCCTTGGCCAAAGGTGTCTGAAAATGCAAAAGATCTTGTGAGGAAGATGCTTGATCCGAGCCCTTACTCTCGGTTAACTGTCCAGCAGGTTCTAGGTTAGTTATCCGGCCCCATAATTTTTTCCACTCCCCAAAATTGTTTGGTCGAATGAATCTGACCATCATTTATCACCTTTGAACAATGAAGAACATCCTTGGATACAGAATGCCAGTGCAGCTCCCAATATCCCACTCGGAGAAGCAGTGAGGTCCAGGTTGAAGCAATTCACTGTTATGAACAAGTTCAAGAAGAAGGCTCTGCTTGTGAGTTTGATGATCCTTCGTACCTCATTCATAGCTGTTCTTTTTGGGTATGCCACCAGTCTCCAAATTTTACATAATTTCTTCATTGGTTTTAACCTTCAGGTGGTGGCAGAGTACCTACCAGCCGAAGAGCTGGAAACAATCAGGGAGTTGTTTCACATGCTGGACACCAACAAGGATGGGCATCTGACAATCGAAGAACTCAGGAAGGGACTGCGATTGATCGGGCACAATGTCCATGACACAGATGTTGATATGCTCATGGAAGCTGTGAGAACCTCGATCTTATGCTTTACATTACATTTGTTGAACCATCTCATTTTCAATATATCTTTGCATTCTTGCACCCTTCTCGACACAAGTGCAAGAAATCTGGATGATATGATTGGTTAGCAATGTGAAGGTGTCACTATATTTGCATTCTACAGGCAGACATGGACGGCAATGGAACCCTGGACTGCAAGGAATTTGTGACAGTCTCCATTCACCTGAAAAAAATCCGCAGCGAGGATCACCTGCCCAAGGTGTTCAGCTACTTCGACAAGAATGGGAGCGGGTACATCGAGATGGAAGAGTTGAAGGAGGCCCTCTCTCCAAGAGGTGACCAGAAGGCGATCGACGACATAATCCTAGATGTCGACAAAGACAAGGTTAGACCACCATCCATCACAAAGAACTGCGAACCTTTCAACAGATCGATAGTTTAAGCAAGTTCATTGCACTGCACTAGTCAAAAACTAAAATGTGCTAGCTCCTACATACAGGACGGGAAGATAAGCTATGAGGAGTTTGAGCTGATGATGAAAGCTGGAGTGGACTGGAGGAACACGTCGCGGCAGTACTCGAGAGCGGTTTACAACACCCTCAGCCGCAAGATGTTCAAGGATGTGTCCCTGAAGCTTGGCATTAACAATGGTCCACTTGCTGCAGCCGTCAAAGAACAATAAGCGGTTGATTGAGTGATGTCTCTACTACCTGCAAACTCAACTAAAACAGAGAATGCGAGAACTGTACCCACTTTTCCATGTTTTGTGTATAGGTCGCCTCATTTTGGCATGCAAATGTATCAGGGGCGGTCAATTGACTCAGTTTCAGGTGCATATGTCAAGGCACTCCCAGAATTACACCCTTTCTCTTTCACATCAAAAAACAAAAGATGCTATTATGGGCATGGGTGTCTTGGGACAGGCGCCCGTTAGTTAGTTCGGTCCAGCCAGTGCAACTGCCCTGGACGCGAGCACCAAAGCCACACCCAGCGGCTGACCTTGCCACACCAACATCAGGTGTTGTGTTATAAAACATGTCGTGGGTAATATCTTTGTGTCTCCGTCTATCATGATCCACATTGTAGATAAAAACATAGAGACATCATAAGATAGGAGGAAGAATATTTTGAAGGACCGAGCAAGGTGACCACAGGGGTTGAATGAGAGCCAAATCCAATTTTCTTTTGACTTTGGCCACTGTCCCTAACCCTGCCCCAATGAAGCACTCAAACCACCAAAGACTTCCACACAATTGTACACAGGCTAACTGGTGACCGGATACACTCAGGAGACATCAGAGAACCCAGCGAAAAAGACCCAAAGTCAAACAGATGAAAGATGCAACCCAGGAAACGAAAACGCAACACGGTGGTGACATCACCCAGGAAAACCGACTTAGCTGGTTTGGGACTGCCTTAGCTGATTTTTCTGCAAAAACTGGCTTAGCTGATTTTTCCACACCCCGAGAGAGAGAGTCAACACTGAACAAAACGACCTCCAAACATCATGACATTTTGAGAGAAGGTTCACAATATTATAAAGAATTTTTCCACCAAAAATCACCTTAAACGGCGCAAGTCGACAAAACTGGCTTAGCTGGTTTTGAAACCAGCTTAGCTGGTTCTTCTGCACAGCAGCCCGAGAACTTCTCTCCAAAAGCCAAAATTCATGCAAATGAACTCTGATTGCCCTCAAATTTTGCAGAGAGGTTCCCTAGGGTGTTTAGAAGATATCCTCCATAGACCAACACCCATAAATCACGAAAAAGAGGCTTTTCTCACCAAAGGATGATTCTCAGCGCTCGTGAGGAATCTGCCCAAACTATTTGGCAGAGATGTTCCTCAGAGGTCCTAGCATAAATCCATCCAACCAAAACACCCAAACACAAGCTAGATCTTGAGACAACGATTCAGAAAGTCAACTTTGTTTATTGTCATAAGATCAACTTGACCAAGGTCTGGTCTTATAGGTGAACATAGACAAAGGACTCAATCTCTCAGCTACGGATCTCTCTCAGTACAGGACTCTGACTAGACATAGAAAACTAGCACCTAGAGACTGGAAACAAAGCACTAGAAGAGATTGGTGGCTTGGGGCAGCCCTCTTCTTATTTATAGAGCGTCGGGGTCTGATGACCAGCAACACGTTGTGGGGTTACCCAGAACGATGTTTGGTGGGCTTTGGCATAAGCCAAACTCGATGGTGAACACAAAGGCATCGATTTATACTGATTCAGGTTGCTGAATAGCATAATACCCTACATCCAATTATGTGTGTTGCCTTGTGTTGATGTTACAAGAGGGTACCTCTGCCTTCTTTATATAGTCCAAAGGGCAAGCGCATAATCTAGTCTTAGTCAGTTACAATAGAAGAGTTCTAATTCGATTACAGAAATTGACATTCCTATAATCCAACTAGGTCGGTCCTTCATGCCTTGGAGAACACGCCACCTTGTTCCACGTCCTCTATGCAGACCGTGTGTCAGCTCATCTCCTTGCTGGGTAGTCGACCCTATGGAGAACCCTTAGGATCTTGATCCGTCAAGCCCCAAAGCTCTTCATGGTTGCACTTTGAAGTTGTCTTGAATCTCCTAGTCTTGGCCAAGTAGAATGAAGCAGCATACAAGTAGTCTTCTTCAGAGAAGCCATGAAATGCTCTTTGAAATTTTCAAGTGAGTGTAGCCCCCGAGCCTCTTGCTATTTAGCGTAAAAAACTAGAGGGTCTTCTCTGCAAATTTTCAATTCCGCTTCGAAGAAATTTCTAATGCATCCACTAAGGATATATGTCCTACAACCCCTGAGCTTAAACTCGACTATCTGAGTCAATTATAGGGTCTTAGACATCCTTAAGGGTGTAGTTGAGTAACCTCTCCAAGACAATGATCAGAAAAGACCTCTCATCATTGAGTGGTTTATCATTTTGAATCACATGCAAGCAATGGAGAAAATCTTATCCTGCCTGCTGCAATGTTTTTTTCTTCAAGCCACTCTTGATGTACTGTACATGCGAGTAGTTGTGAGAATCTTATCCTGTTCATTGTAAAAGTTGTCACACTATAGTCGCCCTGGGGCATCACGTGAAACCGTCCTGGCGTATCTCAAGAAGTCTGTCCTTAAGCACCATGTGAATGTGTAACACCATAAAATTTGCAATATTTTAAAATAGAAGAATTTGATTTATTATATATTTTTGTGGGCATTTGAATTTAGGAAAATAATAATTTTGTTAAAAATAAAATCAAATATAAGTTTGCCTATATGCATGTGCATTCATGCTGCTGCATAGTATTTTTGAATTGTGTGATTGAAATCAAATTTCAAATTGATTTGGATTTGATACAAAACTTGTTGAAAAATGAGTTTAGAAAATGGAAAAGTATTTTTTCTCTTCTTTCCCCTGAATTCGGCCCGCCGTAGCTAGTTGGCCTGCTTTCCTCGGCCTGCTGGCCAGCCGCTCCCTTTCTCCTCCCCGCTCGGGCCAAAGCTGTGCCGGCCCATTTTCCGCGCCGCCCGCTCCGCAGCGGCCTAGCCGAAGGCACCGGCCTAGCCAGACGCCGTGCCGCGCTTCCTCTCCCCTCTCCGCTGACAGCGCTGGCCGCCTGTCAGGTCTTCTTCCTCCTTCATCTCGTGTTCACCTCGGACACCTCTGCGTCACCGCTATCCGTGTTCGTTACGCGCAGGTGCCGTGTCGCCCATGTCTCCACGCCCTTAAATAGTCGCCCGAGCTTGCGCCGCCTCCCTATCCCACCTTGCAGCGAGATTTTTGTCCCCGCACAAGCTCGCAGCCGCCTAACCTAACCGCCACCGCGAGAGCCGACCGCCTCGTCGAGCACCGCGCTCGCCATTCCTTCTCTGCCGCCGACGTAACCCTAGCTGAGACCTCCGTCACCCCCTCTCTCTCCCGGACCGTCCCGTTCAAAAAACCGTGCTCCATAAGCCCTAAATGAATGTCGCCGGCGAACTTCCTATGTCTGGCCATGGCGCCACCAGCCACCTTCACCCGTCCGATCCAATCACGGTCGTCCAACTCTAATCCAACGACCCAAGATCAAAGTTACCCCTTCGCTGCGAGATTTACTAAAACCCCCTTCTAAATATTTGAGGCTTAACCCAAAATCCAAAACATCTTTCCCGATTTCGTTTTCTTCTTTTAAAAGCGTACTTTGTTTCGGTTAGATTGAAAATACGTTTTCAGCTATTTACAGTTTTGCCACTAGATTTGTTTAGGCCATAACTTTTTTGTTTTAACTCGGATTTGATCCGTTCAACTTGTGTTTGGTTCATAATTTCATAATCTACATGTTCATACTACTGTTAAGTAGGTTTTCAACTTTTAAGATTCGAGGTTAGATTTAATCTATTATTTTACTGTAGGAAATCTTGTTTAATTCATAACAACTTCATTTTAGCTCTGATTTTTGTGGTCTTCGCGTCTGTGTGGTCGTAGCGAGACGTAGATTCGTTTTACAAACTTTTCATCTTGATTTTATGTTGATTGGTGTACTATTCTATTCTATTCTATAGCTTTTGCTTGCTAAGCATGATTGTATGGATGCCTGTGTGGTGCTGTTTGACCTTGAGTAGACTATGAGTTTTGTGTTGGTGATCTAGAGCAACTCATTGAAGATCAAGACCAGCAGCGATACTTTGAATTAAGGCAAGTATAAATGAGGCTCCTTGTTACCTATTCACTTTAATGCAATCTCAATTCATATGCATATGTTAATGAACCGCTTGGAGTCTACTTACCTTGATATTGATTACCCTATCCTTGATTTACCTATGGGTTTTGCATGTGGGTAGTATGCTTAGTTTGCTCCAACTAATATTGATTAAGGAATACAATTAAAGATATATGCAACATGGTATTAAAAGATGCTTTTTAGCAACATGGAACCAAGGGGGCTAGGGCATTGGGCCTTTTCTTATGGTGCTCTAGTTTCTCTCCATAAGGACTCATATTTAAATGACAACTCAGGACTTACAGTACAACCATGATGACCACATGGCTCTGGTCTTAATCTAGTACCTTGCTCTTTCTAGTTTGTAGCAGTTTACCAAAAGGGTAAGAGGGGCATACCAGGCTGGTTATGGGCCTCATCCCCAGGGTGTGTACTATGCTGCGTGTATCAGTGCCACTTTTGGAGATGACTCCATAACACTTGGGAGATGGAATCCTTAGCAGCTGCTTCTTATTAGAACGACTGGGGAAAAGCTTCATAGTGTACCTTGCCTGCTCACCTTAGAAGTGTTTTGGGAGTAATTAACCCGGGCATATGGGCAACATTACTCGTGGTGAAAGTGTACAACCTCTGTAGAGTGTAAAACTGGTATATCAGCCGTGCTCACGGACACAAGCGTCCTAGATCCTTACTGAATAGTTGGTTACTCGGAAGGTTTGGGTTATGATTAAAATTGCTGATATCTCTAATTATTTATATTTGGGAGCCTAAGCATAACTTAACAACTTATGATTAATAATAAAATATGACCAACTAAAAGTGCTTACCGTAGTTCAGCCGTGTCAAGCCTTTTGAGCTTGCATCCCCTCATGTTATGCTTGCTAAGCGGTAGTAGCTTACGCTTGTTTTATTTCAATACTTTGGCAAAATCCAAGATGGGTACCAGATGGAGGTTCTTCAGTGGAGTTATCCAAGAGGTGTTAGGCTTCTGATCAACCAG